AAGGTAATAAATTCATACAAATAAAATGTTTGACGTTACAATATGTATTAAAGTTGTTTAAAGAAAATACTAATGTGTTTTATTTAGCTGAAATTAATATGATTCCTTATATATATATGGTATATATATATATGGAATACCTTATATATATATATATATAAAGGTATTCCACATCAAATCAGGCACCTTTGAAACATCATAATTTTTATTTTTTTTTAATTACTGACATTCTACGTATTCTAGATAAAAATATGAGACACATGTTTCGCGAAAAAAATTTGAGATTTTTTTTGTTAAATTATTCACACTTGTAAATTGCAGAAATTTAAAAAAGTAATTATAAATTGCATAAAAAAACCTCGCTTATACACACAAACATTTAAATTATTATATTTTTTTTTCTTTTTATAAACTTGAAAGACTTAATGTCAAATGCATTCTGACAATGATTATCGAAAGGATTATAAATAATAAACATTTAAAAAGAATAATCTGCAATAATAGTTCAAACACGCAATTTTGTTTTAAAAAAATATACTTAAAATATCTTGGATATACCTTTTTGAGTTAAAAAAATTTAAATACAGTCGATTACAAATATTCAAATCATTACTATTACTAAATTTATATATTATTTTAAAATTAAAAACATCGAGGTGTGAAGAAGAGTAAATCTATTTCAAGGAAGAGGTATACTGAAGGAAATGACAAGATAATACGCGAATCTGGTAAATAAAAGTTTATTTTGTAAGTTCAACTAGATTGTTTTAATTTCTAAATTACTTATATCTAGAGGCACTATAGTCAAGCTTAAAATCTAACAGACTACAAGTTCATATTACACTCGATAGTTATAATACTTGATTTTTGCTCAGGATTTCGACCATAGTACATACTTGAGCGTATAATAAAGAATTATAATAGAAGTAAAATTGACTATATCTAATATCTCTACAACTTACTTTGAGTGATTTACTTTGGGCTTTTTTTTTATTCTTTTAGGAATGAACTATTATTATTGTAATGTTCTAAATCATACTATACTATATTATATCATACCGTATGTGCGATAATAAAATGCAATTATATTCTGTACATAAATATTCGCAACTCACGTTATGATGGAAGAGGAGATCAAAAAGGAAAACAATACCTAGTCTTACTCTAATTTTATCATTATTTAATAATACGCTATATTATAAATTCGAACTCGTTTTCCGTATTGCATATTTAATGATAAAATATCTGTCTTTTGACAGTAATTTTAATATTAATACCTAAAAATGACAACAGTAAGTTTAATATCTAAAAATGATCTATAATAATTAAAATCACTTCGTTTCTTTTTCAAATATAATTGATACATTGTTAAAATACTGCAAATAGTAATACTGACAACTAATGCTGCAATAATAGTAAGAACGCCAAATTTTAATACTTATATTACTTCGAGTGTCATATGTAATGATAGAATCTATAGAGCAACAGATTACTGCCTGTTTTATGTCACATATTATTTCTTTATAGAATATTGCAGTGTTCTCGAACTTTAAATTACGCTTAATTTGTAAGTACATTTTTCTGTGCAAATAATAACACGCGAGTGAATATTAGATAAATTTTTTAATCTTTCCATTCAAACTTTTTTTTAAATATTTTCCTATTCTTTTGTTCTAAATAAGCGTCATTAGATAAATGTAAAAATTATTTTCCTTTTTTCATGTGCAATCGTGCAATCCTTTCTAAAAAAAAAAACACGAATATTTTCACTAATTTAAAAAATGTTTTTTTTATATTTTTAAAGCCCAGATTATTTACTCTCAAATCTTTTATAATTATCTGCATACTATTGAAATTAAAAAATATCATTAGTGTTGTACGGTTAATTAAAATAATAATATATAATGATTTGTTTGCGACAAATATTTTTTCGCACGTTTTGTTAAACAAGGCGCAAGGAAGTAGAAGAGAATGAAAGAAAAATCGTTCAATATCTCGTGAATACAATTCAATTGAATAATAAATTAAGACAAACAATTCTTACAATACTCTTTGAACAATTATTTTGTAAGTCATATCAGACAGTAATCTCGGATATTTCAGATAAAAGATAAATTTATAAATTTTGTAACGTAATTGCAGCGCATTTACAGTAAGCGATAAGTTATAATTATACGTGAATTATACATACAAGGGAAGGTATCGCACTGCCCGTGTGTGGACAATGTTTTAAAATTATGTGTTATAATATAGTTTTATTTTTCCATATACAGAATATCCTCCAGTATTCATGTATACACATAAAGATACGTATGTATACATCATGTTACATATATGATACATATGCTTGCACATATACATAAACACACACACACACACACGCGCGCGCGTGTAGTGAAGGATATTCTCTGGAAAATAAAAGAAAATGTATTGATGAGAGGACGTATCGAGGTATTCATTCTGTAGATAATATAATACTTATTTGTGTAGCATACTATATAATCCTTTCTTGTTAAATACCTTCACTGTTAAATACCTGACTATATTGTTCTATCGATGAAAGGTGTCCATTAGAAAACAGAAGACAAAGCAAAATTCATTGAGCTGTTGATGCGTATTGCGCTTGGCACAAATACACGGCTGATATCACATATCGACTACAATCTACGTGAGCCAAACACTTTGTCATCACACGCAATTTATCTTATGGAAATAAGAGCCACAGAAACAAACCAGAAATGGAATGTATTTTGCATTTAAAAAAAAAAGCAAGTAAGTTACTTCTTAGTAAAGTTTTCAGATACTCCGATAATCTTAACACGAGAATTCTAGTTAGTATATCAACTCATCGTATTGAAAAACGTAAAATAAAAAAATTCTGATAGTCGCCATAAAATCAATTGCGTGTGTGATATACGCTTAACAAAAAATTTATTTGTTTTTAAAAAAAACAATATTTAGTCGAAAGAGCAGACTTATATTTTAATATGACTATCTAGACAATTCTAAAGTAAGAAATATGAATTTTTTGGCTTTTCTTGCACATTAAATCATATTAAATAAGTTCTTTATGCAAAACTGGACCGACGCGGGCAGTGTGTCACTACGGCAGAATTGCACGAGTAATACTGGCACAGTGAGGCAATGACCTTAGGATTCTCTCTAAATATACTATGAGTACTTATATTAACATATTTATCTGGAAAACTAATCATTCACGTTACGTAAGTAATTATTACTGTGTTCTTTCTATACCATCAATCATTACGTTAAACTGGCTGCGGACAGTTACAATTTGATATACACATAAGAAAATTCCTAGTTTAGAAGATCAAATAACGTCGTATCACAGAATCTAATGAAAAAGTGCATGTGGTCTAAAATCATGTTTCATTATTTTATTGTTGTTTCATTTTTCTCGAATTTTTTATTTGAGCGTTTGACATTGCTGATTTTTTAATAAAACTAAATGTGAAGGAACTTTTCGTGATTTCAGACTTTACTGCTCGCGGAGAATACAACACCGTGAATGATGTAAAATGTCGTGTATTGTTTTAATTTAAAGAATATAGTTTTTATAACCGCGCTATTTTATTTTATTAAATGCAAAGGACGATTAATTCTAGTCGTAGTCGCCATTCTCAATCATGTTCCTTTTCTTTATAATTTCTTGATAAAAATTGATTTGATCAACATAAACTATTTTTGTACAATAAAACATATAAATATCTATTATAATCCTAATATCGAAATACTTGTAATGCTTTCTTAATTTGCTGTTAAATATTTTTACATAATATCTATACAATAATCTTTACTGTAAATATCGGAAAGTAATCATTGAAGTTATATTTCCAAATGTAACAGAATGTTTCATAATTTTTTCAGCAAGAATAATAATATATAAAACAAGATTATAAATTGCTATTGTAATCAAAAGTTGCAATTATTATGCAAACATTCATGAGAAATCCTGTCCTGCCATTTTCGCTGAATTTTGCAATTATTATTTTTTACGATTAAGATCATTTATCAGATCTGAATCCAATCACAGCCGTTGAAGATGCAATGTGCAACTTAATTCGTTGCTACGATACCTAATGCCCTACAAAAAGATCCCAGATAGCATTTCGTGTAAACTCACGAATAATAAAGTTCCGAGTTTCGAATACTTTCAAGATAGAAACATGCACGATCGTGACACCGCTAACTTGCCTGCACACTTACGCAAGGATATGTTCATAGTACATGATACATGTGATGGATGCCGTGTCACACGTGCGTATAAATGTTAGATGCATTACATTAAGCGACAAATTATAATTTTGTTAAAAAAAATTGCGATTACCTATAAAATTTGTGTACGTCTAACGTAGAATGTTATCTGGGGATATCGTAGGTACAATGTCTATTTAAGACACTAATGTTTGCTTCTTAAAACTATTTCGAATTCAAAACTATATATTTGAAATTACGACCAATTAGCCATATAGTTTATGCAAGTATATAATTTAAATAGACAAAGAGTAAAATGCAGGAATGTCGTTAACATGACAAAATTCTCTTACAGAAAAAGATTATAGATTTATTCTTTCAGCTGTTTCATATAATGCAGCAAAATTAGAAAGGAGATGAGAAGCAATACGTTATAAGTTATGCTAATATTAAGAAATTCCGCGTAGATATGTGCTGAATCGACTTTTTATCAACAATATTTATTGCTGTTAATAAGTCAAAATAATGCAAATTTTGATGCGAATCTACCTATCGACTACCGTACACAACAAAATTAATAAATTATCAATAATTCGTAATACATTTTGAACACGGTAAATATATCGAGATCATAGGGCGCAAAAGAACACATGCACGAGATCCTACGATTTATGCTTTACTGATACCAAATGCTGCCATATCATGACACGCCGAACGAGCGATCTATTTTGCACTAGGAACTACGTAATCAACAAATGGACTTTTTGCATTTTTTGTTATACTATTGTTACTCTGATTTAGTCAGATATCGATATAGAACTCGTCTTGTTCTTGTGGCTTTTTCACCCAAGTTCCAAGTTGTGCTTTTGTGAAAGCGTCCTTCAATTGAGTCTTGGCAAGCTATCCAAAAAAAAAGACAAGATATGCTACATAATGGGGTGCATGAAATATAAAATATAACAAACGATATTTCATAAATATTGTTATGTATTGTTATCAATATAAAAGATGCAATTACTTACAGAGTAATCTTGTGCTGAAGATTTTGCATCCAAGTACAGGCGACAATCTTCTTCGTCAACATTGTCTATGGTCGGAAGATTACGTACGAGATTAAAGAATCGCTTGAAGAATGCTTGTTTACATAACCTAGAAGGTTTCCCCACTTCATCTTTGCCAGTTGTGCAACTTAGGACTTCGGCTTCGCTTTGTCCTAAAGTAATAAAAAATATATATATTCATTCAATTCTTTTATATATTTCTTTCTATGAAAGATTAAGAATGTGTACAAACCGAGTGTCCAATTGACGCTGTAATTAGGCGCTTTTCCAGGTTGTCTGATCTCGTTAGATGTAATTAGACTCATTAAAGGTTTATTAAGTCTATATGGTGGTGGTAAACCCTGAATAGTGTTCTCAATGCGACCGCATATCGCTCTGTACATATGACTCGGATTTAAGAGACTGCCGAGGACAATGCTGTGGAAGTAAATTGGCTCGATGAAGTGGCTTAAGAGTGCACCTTGCACACCAAGTACGTTCCACCGAGCTATTTTGTCCGAACACGACATTGTCAGCAGTCTTGTACCCTTTAAATTAGATTTTAAAGTAAAACATCGATAAAAAGCAGTCTGAATATTTTTTTTGCAATGTTCTGCAATGATTTCCTTTAATACAAATAATACATACTGCGATTACACCATCCCAGGTTTGAATACCCTCATTACTTTTCACAGGAATAGTCCCTTCACCAGATTCTATTTTCGTACGTAATTGACCTCTAGCTCGTCTATTGGGATGCTTATCTATGATGTCATTCTCTTCATGAGGTGAGAAAATTCTCGCATCTCCACAAGGAGCGGTATTTATATATAAATGAAATCGAATGCCTTCTTTCAATTTGAAACCCTTTTTGGTTGGCTCAAGAATAGAGTCAGCATTGTTTTCATTTCCGATGTGCAAATCTAATTGATTGTAAAGATATTCACAGAGACATCGTCGTGCTATTACTTCCGCATGACAATCATTTATACCACTACCGCTGCGGCTTAAATGTTCGCCTGAGATGCATTTTGTACCTTATGCAAAAAAAATTACACACATTTTGGTAAATACTTTACAGATAATCCAAGGTTTTAGTTCAAATATTGTAGAAATGAAATAAATTATCTTACCAGTGGCAACACATATCAATTCTGCATTATCTTGTCCTTTCGTTATTACGATACCAGCCAAAACTTTACGTCGCGCGTGTTGTGGTTTAGTTATCATAAGTTCACTAAATTTCTGATTAACCATCTTGCCAATTTGGTCAGCTAGCATTTGCGGTAAAGTCATTTCTGAAGAGGGAAAGCTGATGCGAACAGGATATGAAAAACTAAATGAAGAACTATGGACATTCCGTAATTTTGCTAAAGCTGCTTTACTAGCTGCGGCTTTTGCTAGTTTTTTACTTGGACCTGTTCCCTCGAATGTCTCACCATTAATTGTTACCGATATCGTAAACTTTGCATAACTTTCTCCGTTATCGGATATACAGTTATATACGACGCCTGGATATAATTCATTAATCAATGCCACTGGACCTTTATCTAAAAACTTATTAGTATTCTTTGGCTCCTGGGTTAATGTTTTAAATGCATTGACAAGATGGTTATCACGTTCAGTCACGTCGCTTGTAAAATCTGGCTCAAGAGGCACAACAGGCTGGCAAGTATTGATAGCTTGGTGAACCTCAGGTGTATTTCTAAACTGGACAATGTTTCGTAAAGCAAGTTCGGCTGCTGCATGCTTTGCCATCTTCTTGGTGCGTCCTTTTCCTTCGTACGTTTGACCATCAATTTGTACTGCAATCGTAAATATTGGAGCATGTGTGGGTCCAGTTTGGCCCACAACATTGTATGTAGCTCCGGTTTTTAACTCGTTTAACGCGCATACTGCGTTTTTTGGTTGTGGATTTTTATGACGTTTTTTAGCGATGATAATATCTGATTAAATAATAAATTAAAGTTTTATTACTTATGGGTTAAAAACTCTTCTCTAATTTATTTTTTGTTAGATATAGGATATTTATATCAATTTGTAGGAATGATTTATATTTATAGCAAAGACTGTAGAAAATATATAAAAACCTACCTTCTAAATCTACTTCTGAAGTTCTCTTAAGAACTTGAGATTTGGGTAAATTTCCTTGTCCCATCTGTAAAATAAATCCATGAAAACAACTGTGACTAACCAGTTGTGAGATTCTCTAAACGTTTTATCTTTACTTGAACTCTCTGTTTTTTTATTTATTGTTATCAGTATAAAATTTCATTAAAACATTTGTAACTTTTGTTAAAAGTTCTATTATTTCCAATTTTTTAATTCTGCTGGTGTGTTCCGATCTAATTGACCCATATAAGATAACTTATTTTCTTAATATCTTATTAAAAATATTTATAATATTTATATCAATTTTAAAATATCTGATATTCTTTTTGTGACTTAATTATTCTAAAAAAATTATACATATATTTTTATTTTTTTATTAGTTTGTTTGATAAATAATAACAAAGAACTAACAGATAAGCATCTCAAGGTACAAGATATTTTATCTTGAGATACTTTCTGTATATAAATTTTTATCTTAAGAATTGACAGATTGGAGCAAACTTGATTTATGCTTAATTATTATAAGTTAATTAAAACCATCTCTAATAAAATTGTATCTTCTCACCTATTACTAAATCAATACCTTGCATTATTTCACTTATTTACAGAGAAATAAGAGAGAAAACTTTACTGCAGTAAAGTATGATGAATTAAAAATATGTATAAAATAGCATTTATATATATATATATATTTTTATTAAAAATAAAAGTGTTATTCTATACCTTTTAAATTCATCTTAAGTGTAAAAAAATGGTCCAGATATTTTTTTTATTCAGTCTACAAAAATTACTATTGCAAACCACTTTGATTATAAATCTGTTAAGTCACCATACTCTCTTATTTCTGATGAAAAAAAAGAATTGTTTGAATGTATTCAAATCAAAATTTCTACCTAGCTATCGCAGACCAATTTTATCAAATCTGTTAAGTCAGCTTTCTCTCGTGCATCCCTGATGAAACAATACCAGGTGTTTGCTAACAGGTGAGAAGATGGTATGGTTTACGTTAAGAATTATTAAATTCGTCCGATTTACCTGCACTGTGTGGCCGCTCGAGGAGTTCTCGAAGAGAGTATTACCATTAGCAGGAGTCATGGACGCGCTGCATTCTGAAAACGGGAAAAATAATGTGAGACGTACAAACACACGGGAGAATACTGCGAGAGTGCATCGCGCAGAAAATCAATAGAGCCATCTCGTACTTGTCGGTGTTGATTGTTGGTTGTTATTCAATAACGCTAGACCGTTCGACATGATGCCGTCTCTCACTCAGGAGAGGGAGATACCGCGGAATTAAACACAGGTGGATAAATCGTGCGTCCACACGTGCGAACGCGTGTCGATATGAATAAACACTTCGCGTCGGCTATTCTGGCATCCCGAAAATCCGCAGCGCCATTGCAGTTTTTTTTCGCATAACCGACCTAACCTGAACCCCCAGAGAGATGGCCCTACCACTGATATCCGTATCGTCACCGTCGAGAAAACGTCACGGACACCTCCGCTCCGCTTCACCGGAATAATTTTCGTCGTGTACCGGATAGTGGCGGATAGTACATCTGAGAACGTTCGAAAAGAACACTTGCGAATGCGTGCGATCACTGTGATTTTTACGCGATTGATATACCAGATTGGCAGATATCCTCGCCTATTCACGTCGGTCACATAAATGGCGTTTTTCGAGCGCTGCAAACACTATGCATAAGAGAGAGTCTGCACCGAGCGCAAATGGGCGCAGTAGCGAGGAGAGAAAACCAGAGAAAAGAGGGGAAAAAAAAGAAGGGATTGAGGGAAATAGTTTGAAATTCTGAAAGAAATATCTTTCTCGAAATGAGATAATCATCGTACTTTGCGGCGTAAAAGAAAAAGAAGGAACATTCATTCATGTTTTCGGAATTTTAAAATCCGATCGCGAAAATAGAATACGTTTTGACTCCCTCTCGTGGCGACTCCCCGTGATTCGATTACGATTACACGTGATAGACGTATCACGTATATCGCTTTCCTTGACATTTCCTACTTTCTTCTCTCCCTTCGCTCGACGGGCCAACGCAAATTTAGCGTCACGTTCGCTGCATGAGACGCTGTGAACGTTAAAAGCTACACACAGAAAATACATTTTGTACGCGATAATAATTACTTGCTTCAAATGTTTCGAAGGTATCCGCAAATTCTTATCTTAAGTTTTATCACAAGCAACAAATTTATTCAAAATATATTTTGAATTTAAATAAATTTAATATTTTAATCGAGATTATTTAATTAAAACAAATTCAATTTGCTTTTCATATAAAGTCGCACTTCAATCAATTTTATATTTTTATAATATTTAAAAAAGTAAAATAAATTCTTATTTTGACAAAAAACATTATTTTGTTAAAAATAATCGAAAAAGAAACAAATTGAGTAATTTCTTCTCTTAACAATAGAATGATATTCTTCTGCGTGCTAAGCCAATTTTGATTCGTTCACACACAGCTTGTGCAGTACATAATGTGCAAAGAGGTGATTTATTCTTATTGAAATTCAAAATAAAATAAAAGCAAGAGAAAAGAATTTGAAATGTTCTAAAACATTCCAGAAAATTCAAGGATTCTAAAATTTTAATCTAAAATATCACGATATATAGAATTTTTTTTTTTATAGTTTTTAGTTGAATTTATTAATATACTTAATACTTTTTAATATTTTTTAGTTAAAAAATTCTTGTCTGTTGTTCAATCTTCTAGTATTAAATTTCTATAAGATTGATCTATGACAAACATTCTAGAATTCTAAATTCTAAATTGTGAAATATTATAAAACATTTTTTATTTTTTTATTTTTATTATTATTTTATTTTCATTTTTCTTTATACTTTATACTATATTTTTTTTATCATTATCTGCGCAACGATAATATAACGATATCGATATATTGTCGTTAAGAGTTACAAAATTCCAAAAGAGAAAGTATCCTGTTTACCTGAACCCTAATTGAGAAATATGCATCGACAAAGGACACATATAGATATCTATTGTTTGTTCTCGATAAAAGCGATGTATTCATTCTTTTCTATCTATTTAAGGTAAGTCTTGAAAGAAATTCTAGGAAATTTTTCTCAATTTTGTATAGAATTTAATAAATTTATTTTAATATTAATATTTTAATCAATTTATTCCTTTAATCACTAGTCGGCGAATCGTAACATTGTATTAAAAATTAAAAGAGCGTTATAATGCCGCAATTAACAATATCTTTGTTATCTACATTTTTAAACTATACAAATAAGAAATTAATGTCAATATGAGACTGTGAATACAGTGCTTTCAAATTTTTGTATTTCTATATGTGAAAATTTCTTTTTTATATCAAAAAAATTATTATAAAATAATTATTATAAAATAATAATTATAAAATAATTCTATTATAATAAAATAAAAAAAAAGATATATTCTAGAATTTTCTAGAAATTAAATTCTAGATTAAAGTATTACACCGTATTTTCTATTTTATTTTCTTTATATACTTTATTAATACCTTTATACTTTTTAATTAAAAAATTTACTTTATTATTTAAAGTCGATTGAACTCCAACTATTCAATTTTATTTCATACACTTCTATTTAGCAAAAATTTTTATGAAAAGTTTCGTCTTTTAATTCTTGTCCGTCATTTGTATCACTCAATTGTCTTCTGGACAATATATAATAATATACCTATACTAATTATATTATTGACGAAAAATCTCTCACTTACTGTATAATATTTCGTATTTTTTCACTATAGCTTCAACGTAAAAAGTATCTCGCACGCCACGTCGCACGATCTCTTTGTAACCGATGGAAAGAATGTCTGGGTCGTCAGCGAAGAGTCTCCTATTGAAGCACTTGACGATCATCCGTAGGTCCAGGTGATTGATAAGGACTGTTAACGTCTTTAACAGGCCTTTGCGGGTGAGTTTGAGTAAACGCGAACGCCACGTGACGTTACACACGTGGTACAGGCGCGTCGAACGTTGCACTACTATGCGTGTTACCATTATTACAATTTCATAAAGATCCTTTCTTGCAAGTTTACTCATCTTACGAATACGTCTTGAAACCGGAAACAATAACTTTGGTAGAGCGGGGTGAAACGTAAATCTCAACAGACTATTATATATGAACAAGCGTTTTCACTCAACGATAACAGTTACGGGACAGTAAAGTGTTTATCTTAAATTAATTTAAAAAAAATTATTGCTCGCGCGATAACGATAACGACAAATTGATACGATTCACCTGCCTGACACCCGCCGGAATGTAAAAATCACATCAATTTGTCACTACTGTTATGGCAAATGAGACCTCTTCCACATTGACACGTTCACTGTTTCACGTTCATGTGTAAGCGCAGATCTATCACGCACGTTTGGGGAAGGCGATAAGGGTCTCGTGAGAGATCCAATGTAAACATATTTATCCACCTTTATTTCTAAACAGTACGTTCGCTTCAATAGCAATCTATATACGTACCAATCTTACGAGCATACAAGTTCACGGAGATGCGAAGTATAAAGCGTCTTCTTTAATGAAAATTAATTTTTGACAAGAGAGAAGTCTTTTTTTTTAGTAAGAACTTTCGTACTGTATTCTTTGGATGCTTAAAACGTACTGAGGTCTATGTGTGTAACTTGCATATACGATGTTCTACCTATACTGGACTTGAAACTTTTTTTTCAACCTTTTATTAAATCTTGTAGCATTTTCGTTCCAATTAGATTTACACCGATCCGAGTTGGAAAATGCTTTGCTATTGGTTACACCTCTACCTATAAGAGTGCACGAAACGTTATTAATTCCACCCAGGTTAGTGCAAAGAAGTCAGGTCAAAAATGTCATTAAATATGTAGTCTGTAACATTTTCTTTATTTTTCAAGTTATCTGTATTCCACAGCTTTCAAAAACGAATAGAGAAAAAGCATAACTAATTTACCACAAAAGAAATACTCATGGTTAGATGTTTAGTCTCATTCTGTTGAATGTTATTGTACTTGTGTGAATAATAGACATTTTTGAGCCTTTTTGTGTGCTACTTTTCCCCTCTGTTAAATATACCTATACTAAAAGATGGGAATAGAAAGATACTTGCTAACATTATTCAAATTTAAAACATCGTTTCAATGAAAATTGTGATTCTTACATTATTAAAATCGAATCGAACATCAAGGTATTTTATAACTTTTTAAATTTTTCATAAATTTTTTCCTGTAATGTTTTTGCTTCTGTAGATTTTTTTTAACAAATTAGAATTAACCTTCATATCAGAATGATGATACAGTCCAGCTTTATCTTTTATCGCTTATTAATTAACTGACTTAATTGTGATTCTGTTCTTTTGTCTTTAATAATGCCAAAATCTTATAATGAATTCATTGACATTTTTTACAAAATCTGGATTTTATGTTCAATGGTCAATATTTCAAAAATTGAATACAACGTTTTAAATAAATATTAAATTCTCTTAAATGTCAATAACAAAGATTTTAAATATTATAGGATTAGTCAAACTATTTGTAATTTTTTGAAATTTAAAATCTATTTTTTCTGGCTGAATTAATATACACTTTTTGTATGTTAATTCAAAATGAAATAATATTTGCAGATGAAAGTAATTTGAACGGGATCATTTTTCCATATGAATCATGCGGATCATATTCCATATGATTTCATGTTTTTCTTCTATCTTCGTTATCTCATTCTTGCGTGTAATCTTATTCTTTACGTTGCTTTTTTTATATATATGTGGATTAGAAGAATCTAGTTACGATGTATTTTAATTGCTATATTTTGATTATTTAATGCATTGTATTATAAAATCGATTAGAAATATCTAATTAAATTTAACGATTTTCGCATTAACATTGTTTCAGGATGCAATCGAATAAATTTTACTATATGCTTTGAAACATTTTTTTTTAGCCAATCAAAAGAAAGAAATTTATGAATTGATTAATTAAAAAAATTTTTAAAGAGCATTTATAGTTTGTTGATTGTATACCTTTAGATAGACAATAGAAACAAAGATAAAAAAAATGTTAGAAATTAGCCACCTTCAACAGGACGTTTATTTTGCAACTATTGAAAGGTTTCTTTGCGCTGATTATATTATATTTTTAGATATTGTTTTATCTCGGCGAAAAAAAGTTTCAACTTACTTCTTACTCCATGTATTGTAGACAGCACATAAAGAACCGTCTATAATGACCGACCAATCACAATCGAATAAGAAGAATAATTGACTGTAATAAATCAATTTCTTATTTTTACAGCCTTACCACCACTGCTTATTGTAGACGGTCTTAACAATGCATTATAGTAATATAGAAGGGTTTGTAGAAACCTTTTCTACAATTCTTATGGAATGTCTGC